TATGTCGCTGTATGTCGCTGTATGTCGCTAGTTGTCTGCAGGTGTCCGTACATGTCGCTGCATGTCCGTCGATGTCTGCCGATGTCTTCGCATGTCTTGAGTTGTCGCAGTTTGTCTCTGCATGTCGCTGCATGTCCGCCCATGTACGTCGATGTCTTCACATGTCTCTAGTTGGCTGCTGGTGTCCGTGCATGTCGTGCAGGGCGCCGCACGGTATTCGCATGTTTCTAGTTGGCTGTGCGTCTGTTCGTGGCGCTGCGTGTCCGCCGACAGTTGTCGATATTCGTGCGTGTTTCTAGGCGGTGTGCTGTGCCTATGCCCATGCAGCTTGCTGCATGCCCACCGATGGATTCGCTAGTCCATAGTTGCATGTCCACGGTTCGGGGCCTGAAGCCGAAGGCGGCTAATGATGATGATGAGGATGATGATGGTGATGATGGTGGTGATGATGTTGATGCTGATGATGATGTTGATGCTGATGGGGATGATGATGAGGATGATGATGATAATGGTGATGATGATAATGATGATGACGGTGATGATGATGCTGATGATGATGATGATGATGAGGAAGATGAGGAGGATGATGCTGATGACGACGATCTTGGTGGTGGCGACGTTGATTAGGATGGTTGCAAGGAGGGGGATTGGGCTGATGAGGGGGGGCGGGGGAGGAGGAGGAGGAGGATGAGGAAGAAAAGGAGAAGGAGGAGGCGGAGGCTGAACAGGAAGGCGGTGCGGGGAGGGGGGGAGAGGAGGCAGTTCACGGGGATGCTGCCCAGGGGGGGGGGGGGGGGGGGCGATGAGGACGAGCAGATTGGAGTGGAGATGTGAGCGAGGAGCAAGAGGCTACAGAGGAACGTGGGCAACTAGGCGGGCCCGCGCTACCAGCATAGGATTTGGCGCTGCCCTCGGGCCCTCGACCAAGCCAAATTCCCTGAGCTATGCCAGGGCACGCTGGGCCAGGATCTCGAGGCGCGCCCACCCGCGGCGACGAGGCAAACCCCTCCCTGCGAGCCAGGAAATCTAATCGGGCAACCGACGGGGCGCACGATGGGGACTCGACTGAAGCAGGCAGCGCACGAGGGCGAGAGCGAGCGAGCGGCGTTTCCCCAATCAGAAGTTGGCAGGGCGGCTCCCGCCGACCATACCAGCGTGTATGAACGAGCAGCTTCAAACGGAGCGGTGCCGCTCCACTCCGCACCAACAAACGGTGCTCCCACAAAAGATGCGGCACCGCCCTGCGCGCGCGATGAATGCGCTCGGCGGGAGGGCGCAGAAGCAAGGGCGGGCGGCGAGGACGCGAGGGTGCAATGATGCAAGGATCTCATAGGGTTTTTCGGGGATATGATACAATTGTGCACGGGGATGCACGTCATTGCGCGGCCGAACCATTGAAGGACCCGCGATAAGGATGCAATGGCAGTTGTAAGGTTGCTCACCCTTACGAATGACTATGGCATTACTTGCTCGTCATCACCATCCTTCCTCTCTGCAGTATTTCAGGGAAGAGGGATAGCGAGTGCGATGAGGGCGATGCGGGCAACGAAGCTGATGATGGCATCTTCCTCGTTGCCCGCATCGCCCTCATCCTTGTCGTCCCTCCTCGTCCCCACCCCTACCCTGTTATCGCCCCCATGATTGTCATCATACATCCTCGTTGTCAGCATCATCCTCGTGACCATCGCTCTCATCCAGAGCGAGATCCCGCAGCCGCGGGGCCAGGCCCTAACCGATGTCGCTACTGACCTCGGTCTCGCCCTAGTCAGCGTCGTCGGCCGCCTGGCTGCTGATGCGGATCCGCTTCTCGGCCCTCTCGTCGTCTTCCATCTGCTCAGCCTTCCAGCCGCTGTCCACCTGCATGTCCTCCAGCAGGGTGTCGCCTTTCATGTCGGGCCCGTCGGAGATGGCGTTCACGTTCTGCAGCGCTTGCGAGCCCTCCGCCATCTCTGCGTCGCCCACGGACTCCACGACCTCGGCATCGCTGACCGTCTTGGCAACGTCGCCCTCGGACTCCACGATCTCCACGGCCTCGGGCTCGGCCTCCGCGGGCGGGGCAGCGCGCTCCACCTCGGGCTCGGGCTCGGCCGCCGCGGGCGGGGCAGCGCCGCCCATCGCCGCCGCCTCGGGCTCGGCGAGCCCCTTGGCCTCGTCTTCCTTGACCATGTCGGCCATCTTCGCGTTCGCCCAAGCCACGGTCCCCTTGAGCGAGGCGGCCACGTGCACTCTAGCGTTCGACACCTTGGTCCATTTCTGGCCAGAGCGATCCCTGATGAAGCACTCCCAGCCGCAGATCTTCGGGCGCGGCGAGACGCCCACCTGGGGTGAGGGAAGGGAGGAGGGGGGGGGGGGGGGGGGGGGATGCCCCCTCCACGACGCGCGCCCTCGTCCACCATCGATCCGATCGCATGTCGCATTTCGCGCCCCTCTCGCACAGCCCGTCCCACTCCTAAGCCCCCATCCATGCCCTCTGACTGAGGTGGGGCGACTGCATGGGGCGAGAGGTGCCGCGCGAGCGGGGTGCGGAGGGCGACGCGCGATCGGAATGAGGGCGGACGGGGCGAGGGACACAGTGACAAGGTAGAGGACACGTGGCGAGCGAGCCAGAGTTGCGACGAGGAGGAGGGCGCGGCGATGGTGCAAGGATGGAGGCGAGCAGGAAGGGGTGGAGGGGCGAGGAGAAAGGGTGAATCGGGTGGGGTGCGATGCCAGAGGGCGAAGATGGCGAATGGCGAACTGTGCGAGGCCACCTTGTAGCGGCCCAGCGCCTGGCACAGCTCCTTCGCCTCCGTGATCTCGGCCTGGACCACCTCCCACGGGTCGGGGTTCGGGTTCCACTTGCCGACGGCCTCCGAGGAGAGGGGGGCCATTCATGTGGGGAACATTGGCGGACGAGGAGAAGTCGCACACTTAAGGCGTGAGAGGTGGATTACGAGTAGGAGGGTATGAGGGTGAGGAGGAAGGGATGCCTGCGCGGTGTCCTGCTGCGCGCCGCTGCCCTTGTCGTCCTCGCCCTCGCCCTGGACGCCCTTGTTGCTGCCCGTGCCGCCCTCGCCCTCGGCGGTGGTCACCTGCTTGCCGTTGCCGCTGCCACGGCCGCGGCCACCGCGGCCGCGGGCGCCAGCGCTGCTGGCGCCCTTGCCGCTGGCCTTCTCGCCGTCGTTCTCCTCCTCGGGGGCCTCCCGCTTGCTGTTGCTCTTGCCCCTGCCCCTGCCGCGGCGGCCGCGGCCACGGCCACGGCCCGCGCCGTCGGCGTCACCAGCTCCGTCCGAGCCCTTGTCGATGCCCTTCTCGCCGTCGCCGACAGCAGCGCCGTCCGAGCCCTTGCCGATGCCCTTCTCGCCGTCGACGCTCTCGCCGTCGCCAGGGCCGCCCTTGCTCTTGCGCTTCCTGGCCTTGCCGCCCTTGGCGCCCTCGGCCTCGCCAACGCCGTCCGCGCCCTTCAGCGTCTTGGCGTCGTCGCCCTTGGCGCCATCGCCGCCGCCAGCGCCGTCCGAGCCCTTGCCGTTGCCCTTCGGCTCCTTGGAGCCGCTGCCCACGTCGTCGGTGTTCTTCGTCTTCCCCAGCGGCGTCCGATCGGACCTCTGCGTCGGCTTCCGCGCGTCCTTGCACTTCATGTTATTGCACATCCACCTGTCGCCATCGTTCCAGATGAACACAGCGGCGCCGTCGAGCGCCGCGCAGACCTGGTCCGCTGGGAACGCGTCGACCCGACGGAAGGCCCACTTCTTGATGACGATGAAGTCGCACTCCTCGCTCGACGCCTCGGCGGAGGGCACGACGCTGGTCGTTGCGCACCTCCCCCATCGCCGCCTCGCTCTCTCGCCCGATCAGAGGTAGAAGGTCTGCCATCCAGGGGCACAGGCGTGCCCTGGGTTGCCGACCCCCTACCTCCGAGCGGGCGCGCGGGCGAAGGAGGCGCGGGGGAAGTGCGGGATGACCAGTGCCGTCCCCGTCGTCGTCGTTGTCTTCATCGTCGTCGTGGTCGTCGTCGTCGTCGTCGTCGTTGTCGTCGTCGACGTCGTCGTCGTCGTGGTCGTCGTCGTCGTCGTCGTCGTCGTGGTCGTCGTCGTGGTCGTGGTCGTCGTACGCCTCCGACTCCGCGGGCACGTCGGACTCCTCGTCCCTGAGCGGCGCCACCGGCGGGCGGACCGCGCCCGCGATCGGGGCGATCGAGCTGGACGAGCCGCGTGGGTGGCTGTCCTCGAGCGGCGGCTCCACAGCGCTGCCGCCTTCGAGGGTGGGGGTGCGGAGTCGGAGCACGGTGTAGGGGTTTAATCAGGGTCGTAAGGGTTAGAGGTGGGTGAGCAGGGTTAGGGTCTGGCCGTTGGGGCGTGGTTAAGTCTAGGGTGCCAGGGCTATGGTTGGGTAATCGTTAGGGTGCTGTGGGGTGTGGCTAGGGTGCGGTCATGGCCAGGGGGTGTGGATGGGGTTAGGGTGCTGTTATGTTGGTTAACTCCTCCTCCGCGCACTCCTACCCCTACGCCTGCCCCTGCTTTTATCACCCCTGCTTCTACCTCTGCTGCCCCAGCCCTACTCTTACCGCCAACTCCTACTCCTACCTCTATTCCTACCGCTGCTCCTACCCCTACCCCCACCACTCCGCTGCCTCCTACTTCTACCATTACTCCTACACCTACTCTTGCCCCCCTGTGCTAGGTGTTATGGCCAGGGCAGCCGCATATCCCTACTCCTATTCCGCCTACCCCTAGATAGGGGTAGGCGGAATAGGAGTAGGGATATATATATATATATAGGGGTAGCCCGAATAGGGGTACCCCTAGATAGGGGTAGACTGAATTGATCTAGGAGTAGGCGGTGTGTACATATATATATATATATACACACACTCCGCCTACTCCTAGATCAATTCAATCCCATCCCACACCTAGCGGGATGAGGTCGCCCGCTTCGTCGGACATCAGTGAGTCCTCGTCGGAGTTGGACCCCTGCCACATGGCGACGATCCTCCCCTGCTCGGCGGCACGCTTCTTGGCGGCCTCGACGCGAGCCTTCTTCTCCTTGGCCGTCTCCTTGGCCGCCTGCTTGGTGCTCGGGCGCACCTTCGCCTCGGCAGCGCGGGACATGCGCCTGTCGAGCTCGGGCGGGATGTGGTAGCCGAGCCTCGTCGGCGCCGTCGTCGCCGTCATCGTCGACGTCGTCGCCGTCGTCGCCGTCGTCGTCGTCGTCGACGTCGTCGTCGTCGACGTCGTCATCGACGTCGCCGCCGTCGTCGTCGCCGTCGCCGTGATCGTCTTCGTCGTCGACGTCGTCGGCGTCGTCTTCGTCGTCGACGTCGCCGCCGTCGTCGTCGTCGTCGCCGCCGCCGCCGTCGTCGCCGTCGTCGTCGTCGTCTTCGTCGTCGTCTTCTTCGTCATCGTCGTCGGCGTCGTCGTCGTCGTCGACGTCGTCGTCGCCGTCGTCGGCGTCGTCGGCGTCGTCGCGCCTGCGGATGCGGCGCCAGCCCGCCACAACCGTGAGGATCTTCTTGGCCTCCGAGCAGACCGTCGTGGGGTCCGCCCTCGGGAGAACCTGGGCCGTCACCCCCTACTCCTTATCCTCATCCTCTCCCCCGCCCCCATCCTCGTCCTCTTCATCCTCGCACCTCGATCCTCCAGACTCCGGTCCCCCTCCCCCCATGCTAACGCTACTCGCACTCGCCTCCTCCTCTTCCTCGCCTCCTCACTCCCACTCCTCCTCGTCATGCGCCCACCCTGCAATCCCTGGTTTTCCTCGTTCCCCTTTTCCACGACTTACTCTTCATCATCCATCCGTTTCCTCATCGGCCTCCTCCTTTCATCATACCCTGATCGGCATCATCGGCCTCTCCTCGTCCTCCTTTTCCTCTTCCTCCTAATCTTCCGTCTTCTGGGCCTCCCCGAAGCCCCCTCTGAGGGGATGCGGACTTCTTCCTCTCTTGTCCGCCCTCTCTTTCTTTGGCAGTGGCGCTCCTCCTCTTCCTCCTCGTCATCCTCCTTCTCCTCCTATTCCTCCTCGTCCTCCTCCTCTTCCTCCTCCCTCCTCCTCCCCCTACTCCTCCTCCCGCCTCCTCCTCCTATTTTTTCCCCTCATCCCCAGACCAATGGAAACCCAATGGGACCTTCCACCCCTACCTCGAGGTGGAGGGTGAAAGTATGGAAGGTGAAAGTGGATCCACTTTAAAGTGGATCCACTGCCACCTTCCATAATGTCGGGCCCCCGCGGAAGCTGCGCAAGGTTTCCATGAATGAATGGAAGCCTTGCGTAATGCATGGGGTTGACGGTTAGGGTTGAAGGTCCAGAAGAATGAGGGTGGGGGGGGGCTTCATCGTCCTCCGTTTCGTCCTCATCGGCCTCCTCATTCTTCTGTTCCTCCCGTCGCGCCTCGTGGACCGCTTGTTCGTACATGTCCAGGTCCCACAGGAGGCTTGGCCGCTGGCTGGCCATGTGCTTCAGAGGGCGCCACCAGCCGCTCGTGAGCAAGAACTCGCACAAGCCCCCTAGTGGGGGATAGACACCATACCGATGCCGATGCTGCCCCTTCACTTCCCCACCTTTTTGCGGAAGGTGAGGATGTGAGCGGGGAGCATCGGCATCGGTATGGCGTTTCCCCTTCTGGCCTGTTTTCTTGCTCGTCCTCGCCCACCCGCAGAGCGGGACGGAGAGCGGCCGCAGCCGAAACGCCGCGACCAGCACGGCGGGCGAGTCCACGAGGGGAAGGACGAGGGCGAGGACGAGGGCGAGGACGCGGGCGAGGCGGCGCGAGCCGAAGCTGCGGGAGGGAGGGAGGATGACAGGAGGTGGGCAGTCATCGTTACCTTCGCGCCCCTGCGGGTTTCCTCATCCTCATCCCCGTCCTCGTCCCCATCCGCATCTTCATCCTCATCCTTCCCTTCCTCCCTCCCTCGATCCCTCCTCTCTTCTCTTTCTCCCCCTCTTCTCTCCCTCCTCCTCCCCCTCATCATCATCGTCATCATCGGCATCATCATTAGTCTGGTCGTCGTCATCGACATTACCATCATAATCAGCATCAGCATAATCATCATAATCGTCGTCATCATCATGCACCTCACCATGATCACCATCACCACCATCAGCACCATCACCATCAGCACCATCTATCACCATCATCAACATCATCATCACCATCATCGTCATCACCACCATCATCGTAAGCATCATCATCTTCGTTGTCATCGTCATCATCAGTCTGGTCAGCATCATCATGCACACCATTGTCATCGTCGTCATCATCATCATAACCATCATCATCACCATCGTAATCATCATCACCATCGCCATCAGCATCATCACCATCATGATCCCCATCACCAGCACCATCATCATTACCATCATCGTCATCGCCACGCTCCAACAACATGGACAAACTTAACCCGAGAGCAGCAACATACCATCACATAATTAACACGAGTTACGAACACAAGCAAAGACATTCAAAGACATCCAAAGACATTCAAGACATTCCAAGACATCCAAAGACATTTCAAGACACGCATCACCTTCCTCACCTTCCGCGCAGGTCGGAAGGTCTGGAAGAATGAGATGGAGGGGGTGAGCGCGGGGATGCTGTCGAGTAGACCGCGAGCGGGGTGGGGGGGATGCGGCGCTGGGCGGTCGCGGGACCGGAGCTGCAATTTCGCCTCGTCGGGGGGTCTGCTGGGCCAGCGGGGGCGGCGTTCTTGCGGTCGGCTGATTGGCGCCAGCGGCCGCCGCCGGTCGCGATGCGGCGGGGGGCGGAATGCGGGAGCTCTCGCGGCTCCCGTCGCTGCGGCCCCTTAATTGGCTGGCTGGTGCGGCTCTTGGACGCGCGGCTGCTTGCCGCGTTGCTAGGCGACCTGCGGCGGGGGGGTCTGGCCGATCCGGCGCCGACCCAAGTGCTGGGAAGCCACCCGCCATATGATTGAAGTCCTGGTGCGTCAGCGGCGTGCAGGGCTGACGGTCCATGGGCGCCTGCCCCCAGTGCCAGGGCGGCCCTGGCCCTGGCGAGTGACGGGCCGGCGCGCGGCTGGGCCCCGTGCGCCCGGAGTGCCGGGGGGAGCAGGCCCTGGTGCCTTGGCTCGGGGGGTCGTCTGAAAAGTGGCGACAGGGGTCGTTCAGCGGGGGGGCTTGCCCCTAGGGCCCCTGGCCTAAGGGCGCGCGTAACGGCTGCCGAGCGGCGCCAGCAAGGGCCGCTGCGGCGGGGCTGGGGGCGTGGTCGGGCGCTTCTGCCCGGGCCAGCTGGCGGGGATGACCCGGGGCCCGCCCCGGGCGGAGATCGCCTAGGCGTCGAGGGGCCGGGCGTTCCAGATCCACCAGGCGCCGCGCGCAGTGCCGCGCGGCGTTCCACTGTTTGTTGCGAGTAGGTGTTCGCAGTCTGCGAAGAGCGGGGGGGCGCGGGCGTCAGAGACTGGGGCCTGACTCCCAAGGCGAAGATGCCCCAGGGAGCGTCTCCGCATGGCCACTTGTGCAGGGGGTCGCTGCCATGGCAGCGGTAGCAAATCCAGCGCATTTGTCGCTATCGATATCCCTTCCGGACCTGTCGTTGTCGGCGCGCTGGGCGGGGATTGCGGCGCTGGCGAGGGCGGGGCCCTGCGCGCCGCGCCTCGGGGGAAAGGGCCACCATAGCGGCGCGCCCGCGTCGGGCGCGTGCGTGGGGGGCGAGACCGGCAGAGGGCGGCGAGCGCGACTGCCTTGGGTTGGGGGCGCGCTCGCGGCGTTCGCCAGAAAAGGTCACGCGTCTGACGCCTTCTGGCACTGGGCAGGCCTAGGGCGTCCTGGCTTAGTTTTGAGCAAGTGATGGTCGACCCAGGCGCCCCCGTTGCCCTTCCGGGGGTCGAGAGGGCCGCGCCCGCAGGCGTCGCAGAAGACGTCGGGGGCATGATCGGTCGCCTGGAGGCGGTTGTCCCCGGTCCGCAGGGCGGGCGGCAGCAGGGCCCCGGGAGCACGCCCGTCGGGGGGGGGGGGGGCGCAGGTCTCTTCCGGCGCGAGCCCCCCCTCTAAGTAGAGGGGGGGGGGTCAGAGGCGCGGTTCTCGGGAGTTGGCCGCAGACAGCCAGGGTGTCCTGGAGGGGGACGTCGCGAGCAGCGGATTCCTTCCACGTGGCTGCCTATTGCTGCTGGTCGAGGGAGGGGTGGCGGCGCGCCGCGGTGACCAATCGCGAGCAGGCCCAAGTCCTCGATGCGCCCATGGAGCCGCCGGAAATCGGGCTCCACGAAGTTGCGTGACTTCCCGAAGCCGTCGCGGACGGGGAGTCGTGCCTTGTTGCAGGGCACGCAAATGCCAAGGGCTGCCTCAAGGATGTCGCCGATGTGTCTGGCGCTACCGCACAAGGCCAGGGCGGGGCGGGGCGCGCGCGCCAGCAAGAGCATGATCACCGGGGCGCCGTCAACCCAGGGTCGCGCGATCGGCGCCCCGGCGGGGTCGAAGAGCAAGGGGGCACTGCAAGGGCGTGGAGGTGCTCGCAGCCTGGCTGCCCCTGATGGCGGCGGCACTCGCAGGTGGACTTGCTCCATGCGCGGGGAGGGGATCTGGTGGCGCCGACGGGGGGCTGGTCCACAGCCCGCCTCCAGTGGTATCCCCGCGGCGCCCCTTGGGCGGTGGGGGCAGCCTTTCCTCGGGGATGGCAGAGTCAGGTTCAGCGTCGGGCTGTCGTCCTGCCGCCTGAAGCAGGCATGCCCAGGCGGCCACGCATGCGTAGTTGGAGAGGCCCAGTCTAAGCTCACGATCGTAAAGGTAGCCGTCATGGCTCACCATCTTGCGACGGTGCTTGAATAGGTCCCTGGGCGCGTCGCCAGGCTCGTGCAGGTGGGGGCGCAGGCCGAGGGCGCAATAGAGGGCGGTGGCGAAGGCGGGGTCTTGGAGCAGGGCGGCGGCGGAGTCTTGCAGCTCATCGGCAAGCCTCTCCCAGCTGCGGCCTTGGGGTAGGCGACTGTCGTAGAGGGTCTGGATGCCTAGGGCTCGCTGATCGGCCTTCGTTTGTGCCTTGCGGTCTTCGTTGCGCTTGCGCTGCTCGGCCGTGAGTCGGGCTGTCTCTTCCTGGGTGACGGTGGGGGTCTCGGCGCCGATGGGGGGGGCCTGCTGGATCTCGTCGTAGGTGGAGCCTGGGGTCTCGTCGAGCTGCCGCCGCGTCCCGGGGGCGCCAGTACATTGGGCCCACAGCCCGGCTGCGCCCGCCCAGTCGGCGAGGATGTGCATTTGGGATTCGGTGGAGGAGGCGGCCATCTTGGCATTGAGCATCACGATGACGCCTTCTTGCGGTCGGGCGAAAACACGTTGATGCGATGCGGCTCGTCGACGCAGCCCCACTGTCCGCAGGAGTTTGACCGGGCGGTGCACAGGACTACGAGGTTTGCGTCATCTGGCTGTCGTCAATGGTCAACACGCTGATGAGCCCTTTATCGAATGGACGTCGACAGGATAGCTCGAGGCCGCTGAACTGGAGACCAAGCCAACGAGCAGCAGCCCCCCCAGTCAGCTTCGGCAAGGTCATGGTGTTGGCGGGCACGGCGTCCTTCTTCCTGAAGGCGCTGTGGCGAAAGTGGTGGAGACGCTGGACACACGGCGTCCCCATCATGTGCTGCGAGGGCGGTGACGAGGTCACGAACTACGGCATGACGGAGGTGGAGGGCTACCCCGTTCTGATGCCCTGCTACGCGGACCACTCCCCTGGGGCCTGGTGGAGATGGGATAGCAGGCGGGCTTTTGATCTTCGAGATTATGTACACCACGCCTTTGATCTTCGTGATCATGTACACCACGTTTCGCAATTTGGGGATTCTCCTGAGCATGAGTGCTTGGCCTCGCGACGGCTCGCGACGAGGGATGAAGATGTTGAGGAGCTCCATACTACGGTTTTTGTTGCCATCTGTGCGAACGGCGCAGGTGTGGGCCCTGCTTCGGATACGACGGTCGGGCCTTCCAGCGATCCCCTGCACGGGGGTGGCGACAAGGGAGGCTCGAAGAGAACGGCGCGCAGATCGGATCAGTCGACTGTCCTCCAGGGGTTGGCGAGAGCGGTCACGGCGATCCAGCAGCACATAGGCTTGAAGCAGGAGCCCCCTGCCTCAGCCTGGCTCGGGCCCGACGCGGCGAAGCCGAAGAAGGCCAACCCCAAGAAGGTCAAAAATACGGACATCCAGATCGTCGAGCGCCTGCGGAGTCTCATCGGATATGTGGACTCAGCGACGGGCGCCTAGCGACAGGCCATCACTACACCGGTGGTGTGCAACAAGCTTCGGGAGCTCATCGCCACCTTCAGCACGGCCAAGGCAGACAGCCCGCTGGAGGACACGACGACGACGACGACCCCGACGGAGCGCTTGGTTGCAGAGCCCTGGGGGACTGCGGCGATCACAACCGCGGGCCAGGCTCGGACCAAGCTGGAGGCGGACGCGGAGCCACTGGTTACTCTTTCGACGTCCGACGCTGAGTTCACGGCCGCGGAGCAGGTCCGCAGAGCTTCCGGCAACAGGACGAATGTTACGCATGTGGTCTTGGACCCTGCCGGTGAAGATTACGTACTCCTCCACGGCCGCATGGGGCCCAAGAAGATGAGAGCCCGCATCGTCTACCGCGGCTCGGACTCCCCGAAGCGCGCTGGTTTGGACGCGGCCGTCAAGGATGGCGAAGTTGTGCAGCATGAGAAGTTGACGTTGGCCAGTTATCGTGTTACGGTCGTGCAGGAGCTCACGGACGAGACAATGCACCACCAGATCTACAACCAGCCCCAGGCTCTCCCAGCGGTTGTCCTGGGAGAGACGACGGCGGCGCAGATCGCGCGCACCCGCGGGGCCATCGCATATGAGGCGGATGCGACTTGTGTTGTGACGATCCCCAAGAGCTTCGAGCCCAAGTTGAGCGAGATGAATCCTCCGCTTGGTTGTTTCGTGGTGAAGCAAGCCTCCTCCACAGCCCCGAAGTGGTTCACGCAGAAGGATGAGGAAACGCCAAAGGATTCCCTGAAAAGAGTATGTGGTCTATTGAAGGATAAGCGTAATTTGTTGGTCGATCGTCCCTTTGGGAAGGCGAAGCTGGGGGCCATGTCTCAAGTCAATGCCCCTGGGATGGTGGAGCTCACGAAGTATTATGTCAAGAATGCCCTACCGACCTGGGCCAAACCCCAGCACGTTGCGGACTGGGCGACGGGGAGAGGTTTCCTGCGCATTCAGGAGCCGACGAGAGCTGGACGGAGGGCCTGGTTATTCTTTGCAGAGCCTCCGCAGGGAGTTGTTGCAACGAGTTTGCTTTCATGAGTGGTGTTTTGATTGCGAAGGCGGTGAGGCCACAGACGGCCGCCCGCCAAAAGCCAAAGGGGAGTCAGACATCCACGACACGCAGTGCACGGGGCGCTGCCAAGCCGAGGGTGCAGAACATTGAAGGAGAGCCCGAAGAGTCACCACCGCCGACGGCCCCCAAGACTGGGGCTTCGGCGAAGGAGGCATCGGGAGGAGCGACGGCGACGAAGGAGGAGCCCAAGGTAGAGACCAAGGAGGGGCCCAAGTCGGAGTCGCGCCCCAGGCTACAACGAGGAGAGGGCGGCAAGGCAGTGGGGGAGCATGCGACTCCGTTCTCGAAGTGTTTCAAAGTTGCGCAGTGTGCTGGTGAAGGCGACTGTTTCTATATTGCAGCAGGTCGTGGTTTTCATCGTGTATCTCCGGGTGGGCGCACTCCGCCCATCAACGCTTTCGAGCCGAATGGGCCGATTCAGGGACACCTTCGGATGCTGGTGCAAAGAGATGGACTAAAGAAAGTATTCGGAACGACGAAGCTTCAAGCCGAAAATCACGGCACGACTTGAAATCCTGCTGGAGATCTGGCTGTGCGTCTGCTGGCCCACGAGGCGAAGACGGACATCTACGTCTGGGCAAAGGATACCAATGGGAAATGGATCTTGTACGGACGAGAGCCGAGCACGAAGCCCAAGACGAAGGAGATTTGGTTGACCCTCGAGGAGCAGCATTACCCATGGCTCGAACCTCGTGCGGATATTCAAGACTTACCTGAGTTTCAGGACACCCTGCGCCTTTGGCGCGATGAAGCCTCCCCATACCCACAACACGGACTTCGAGGAAGTGGTGAGGGGGATGATGAGGATATGTTATCCCTACTTGGTCTTCGTCGTACGCCGTCAACCCACTCGGGAGCGATTGCAAGTATTCTGGGATTGGATGAGCGTGCGGATGAGATGCAGAGTATTATTGGACTCGAGTCTGGTGGGGCTGAGGCCCTTGCCGCCGAAGCCACAGGTGACTCGGACGAGGCTTTCAAGCAGTTCTGGACGTGGCAGACTGGTGAGCATTATAAGTGTGATAAGTGCGGGTGGACGCCCGATACCTCTGACGATGCGATGCTAGGGCGACGTAAGTATAAGTCTTTGCTGTGCGCGCAGGCGGACCGACATTGGAGGAAGCACGGTTGGTCTTTCACGTATGCGGCATTACTTCGAGGTCGAGGCGAGACGCATCCTGCGCAAGAAAGCCAACTTCGGGACCGACCAGCGGGCGAAGAGGAAGAAGTACTGGGCCGAGTATTCGAAGCGGCCAGAGCACAAGGAGGCCAAGCGGCTTCAGAACAAGAGCCCGCACAAGAAAAGGTTGCAGAAGGGCCCTGAGCGCGAGCGCTACCTCCAGCCAAAGCGCAAGCGGTCTCGGGAAGCCTGGAAGCGGAAGTGTGCGGCACGCTCAGCATCAGCGTGCCGGTCCTCGTGCTGATGGTGCCCCGACCCCCGCGACCCGCTCCGCGGGCGTGGGGGGGCACCGGTGGAGAGCGGCCAGCTCAAGATGGCCACCGCCAACGTGACGGTCCTGAACGCCGCGAGGCTGGAAGAGCTGCTCACTTACGACGACCTGAAGGACGTGGACTCCCTGGCCCTGCAGGAGTTTCGCTTGCATACGGAGCGCCCACGTTGGGTGTCTGCTGGGGCGCAGAGGTTGGGCTGGCGGTGCGCCGTCAGTGTACCGCCTGGCAAGAGCGCGAAGTCGATCACGATGCAGGGGGGTGCGGCTCTTTCCTGGCGACCCCGAGTTGGTGGAGTCCAAGTTTTTCGATCCCTGGGTCATCGATATATGGGGGTCCGAAGGTCTTTCGGAACTATTGTATCAGCGTGTGGTCCCGCTTCGGTTGCGAGTACGGAGTGGATGGATGAAGTTTTCACTGGGTTCAAGTTATTGCTGCCGGGGGGCCTTGGATTGTATGCGGTGATCTCAACGGGGGCAGTCTTATCAGCATTGTATTCCTATTGATGCGACGGTATGCCAGATGACAGCTTCGACGACCTTGGCGGGGACATCTCCCGCCAAGATATGTGCGTCAGGAGTGACTGCGCAGCATGCGTCAACGGCTTTTGTGCAGGGTGTCCCTTACCATGGACTGGCGTTGCGCACTACTTCCAGGAGTGCCGTGGCGGGGCCCACTACGACACTCAAGCGCGCGACGATCTTCGAGCTGGACCAGAGTGCCCTGGCTCTCCCTGAAGATATTGATGCCTTGCATGTGGACGTGGACAAAATATTGCCCATGCTTGGTGCCGCCTATACTATGACACAACGCTGGGAGCGCTGGCACGCACGGGCCAACCGCGTGATGGAGCTGGGTGTCGAGGCTGGCCTCCTCCTGCAGAGTGGAAGTGCTGAACGCCCCGAGAGATCACATCCCGCGGAGAGGCCAGTCGCGTCCACACCCAAGCGGCGAGCGAACGAGCCCATCATCTTGTCGCGGCTGAAGAGGCTCGCCCGAAGCATCGCTGAACAACTGAAGCGCAGCCACCAAACAGCGCGACTTGATGGACATCAGCTTGACGTTTTCATCGTTTCTGTTGGAGGCATGTTACTGACTGGATGTGCTGGCCTACCGAGCCTGGGCCGCGCCCATGACCGAGCATCGGATGCAATCGCCGAGCTCGAGCGCCGTCTGCGCCCAGGGGACAATTCGACGTGGGAGAAGATTTTTGCCAAGGAGTCTATCGGCTCTGAGTGGTGGAGAGCGGCCAGCTCCGTCAAGCACGACCCAACGGAACGCCCCGCCTTCACAGCCAATGGCATGACAGAGGAGCGGCGCAAGATATGGTGCCCAGAAGGTTTTGATGGCACCGCGTGTGCAGCACCATGGTTATCGCATGCTCAACGTATGCGTCGACCCCTTCCTCGGAGCAGAGCCCGCGATGGGTGGATGCCGAGTTGGAAGCAACTCTTGCGGGC